GAAGACATAAGGGCCCTGTATGGGCTTGCTTTGAATCTTGTACAGTTGACAACATTATTAAGCAGAAATGTATTGCTTGTGGAACATTAGTTAATGGAAAAGCTCCACGACTGAAACAACATCTTCAAAAGTGTAGTAAGTTTGAAAAGAACGATGATGATAATTCAAGTAAAAGTGAATCAGACAGGAAGAGTGAAATGAATAAGTAAAAGAAGAGAGATGCATCGATACCGAATCACTTTTATGTTCTTATATTTTAAAGCAGCAGTTTTATAGTTTTTACCAGTTTATTATTCCAGTGGATAAACTCCGGACCGGTAAAATCCGGAATTTACCCTGGTTTTTTCCACCCATTGGATTTTTCCTGCCAACCCTGAAGACTAATAATATCACAGGTAGCATGTAAGTTCCAAAATCTTGGATGTTCTTCTGCAAATAACAAATGTTATAACAGGTTGTCACAAATTCCTCATTCTAAAATTTCATTATTTATCCCTGATTTCCAGACAAAATTTCATGATTTTCTCTGATGCTTTCAACATTTTAAAATATTTTGTATTTTCGTCTTGATTTGGAAATCATCAAATATTTTGTTGAGAGAGCAATTTGACATAACAATGTAAATTATTATTGTTTGCATTTAATTGTTAAGTTGATAGTATTCCAAAAGTGCATCTATGCAATCTATAGATGTGATGTACACATATTAAATTCCTTTAATCCCAAGAATTTTTATTTTTCAGAAAATTCCCTCACTTTTTTTCTTATTTCCCTGATCGTTTTCAATTTCCTTGATATTTCTCTGGTTTCCAATTTTGTGGCAATCTTTATATATATAATTAAGTCATTTTGATGGCAAAATCAATATAACACTTAAATCTATCGTGTTGAATTAACCTAATTTAGTTACCACTGCTCCTACTCATACATAGAGTCAATTTGACACTATATAGTGTCAAATTTAACTCAAATTGAACTGTTTTAAACTGTTTAACTCTACTATTTTAGTACAAAATAACGATATATTGAGTAGTAGTGGTGACTTAAATTAGGTTAAATTTGATGCCTATAGATTTAACAATGTTAGATACAGTGAGAGTATTGTATGAACAGACGTTAACTCTGGACAGGAGAGCGCAATATGCCCGCAATAGCAAACCCGGGAGTGCCATTCGATCGTTATTGCGAGTCGAGGGTACGGCGATATACGCTCGGTGGCCCGTCATCGATATTCATTGGGAATAAATAATTGTACTCTCGTACCCCCCATCAGATGCCCGCTCGACCTTTCTTAGCTACGTCCCGTTGGCTTCGTCTAACGATGGGCGACAATGGAACAAAACGAAGACACAGGAGGAGAGAAAGAGAAAGAGAAGAGAGACGGAGAAAAAGATTGGGTTACTCTCTCGCGAGTGGGTCCTCGGGTTACAAGCAATCTCGCGCACATTATTTCGTCCGATTCCACCCCTTCCTAACGTACCTTTATTTTCCCACCCGCCCGATCCTTCTTCCTTCTTTTACTCTGACCGTCGCTTCCTCGTCTTTGTCGTTTCCTCTCTACCGCCATCGTCGCGGCGTGGACCCGCGCTGATTTATTTGCATCCGCGCGCTCACCGACGTAGGCGCGGCGTTTTCATTTTCTGCCCCGCGTCCACACGCTGTAAAGTTTACAGGCGTGATTTGCATCGGTTTGCATTTTGCTTTCCATCGTCGTGTTCTCTTGTCGTCGTGCTCCTATACGCGTGTCGCGTACCTATACGAACGTGAACCTTTGCGATCCATGTTTATGCGACATTTTTGTTATGGAGATATGTATATTTGTGCTATAATACAAGATCAAACAGGTTTCTCTATTTCTCAATTTTTTTCATTGCCTTTTAATACCGAATATATTCGCGTTTTTAATTTTCACTAATGAGGAATTATTTATATGTATATTAAAGCTATACAAGTCAAATTATCCTGAAATATAAAAGTTACTACGTAAAAAAGATTATTAGGATACTAAAAGTATCATTTCTTACGTATCATTAATTTTTTTCTATTAAAAATGTATCGTTATTAAAAGTACTTATTATTATTACTTTTATCTCTTCTAATTTAAGAACTGATTAAGTAATAAGAATTTCTGCTGAAAGATTTATTACGCGTGATAATAAGAAGCAAATAAAATATTCTTAAAAATCCTTACAGCAATATGACATTTTACATTTCAAATCCTATTTTCATTAATCTATTTTCAAATATAGTAACCAGTGCGCTTGAATACCTACTTATCGTCTGTTAACCTGTATCATAACATAGTGCAGAGGTGGAAAAACCTGCACGTACGCATATGTCCTCAATTAACTATTTGGAGTTATGTCTCTATCAGAGAGAAACTACGTAAGATTGAAAAGAGGAAAGGGTATTATAATAGCATTGTGATTTATGACAGTTTGCAGCAATAAACCTAATCATTGCGTTTATAAATGCGATAATTGTGAAATTATGCATGCGTCACGCGATACGATATAAATTTTTATAATAAATTGATATAATTATACTATAATTAATGAACGATTGAAACTTGTGAGATTTCAATTTTCCTACCCAATGAAAATACTGTACTCTCGGAATTACAAGCATTTACGATTCCAAGTTTTCCGAGCATTTGAATAATAAAAAAATATATATATATTAGAGAATATTTATTTAACATTATCTATCTCATTTTCATGTACAGAGCGTAGAGTCATGCAGGAAAGCATCGGAATCATCATCTCGCTCGGTGACAGCCGAGGCCGATACTTCCTCGAGACGGGCCGCCACCAAAGTCAAGAGGGAACCAGCGACGACGACAACTAACGCAACCACCACTACCGCCCCACCGACTCATCCTCAAGGTCTTAGTCCAAGCGAGGACCTCAGAGATGAACCTGGTGACTTCATCGAAACGAATTGTCATTGGAGAGACTGTGGTCTCGAGTTTCCTACGCAGGTAATATGATGATATCTTCACCCAAAATAAATAATTTTAATATTAGCAGAAACCGCTAAATCTTAGAGGATTTTATTCTTATATACGGCCTCAAGAGGAATCTTTTAAAATCAAGAGGAAAATATGCTAAATACAATATTCTTACAGTTAGAGTATTTTCATTTTGCATCTGCAGTAAAAATCTTGCTGTTCTTAATATGAATTTCCTCTTGTACACAGCTTAATATTCTTATAGTTAGAGTAATTTCGTCTTGCATCTGCAATACGAATTTTACTGTTCTTAATATCAATTTCCTCTTGTATATAGATTATTTAATATTGTTTTAAGAGATATTATATATACTTTTGAGAAACTTTAATTAAAGAGTATTCACTTCAAAGATATCACAGGATTTGACGTCTATCGCCATGTTGTGATCCATTGTTAATGTCAATATTTCATGAACGGTAAGGTTCACGAAACGTTAGCATTAGCAATGGATCACGACATAACGACGATAACTCGCAAATCCTTTGGCATCTTTGAAGATGTTATCTTTACTGTATTTTTTCCAAATAAAAATACCTGCACCATATCGATAACAAGCAATACATTACGTGATAAATAGTACTTACGCTCAAATGTGGGCCAGTACTTCTCTAAGCTGATCGTTTCTAAGAATTCTTCAACTTCACTCATTATGAAACAACTCAAATTATAAATGATGTAACACAATACAACATGATGTAACACGATGACCGATGTATATTGTATACTATAATACGCGCCAAAAAGCAGCGACAGGCAGCGACATACATATTGCTTTTCATGTTATTCATAAGAGGGCGTTCCGCTTTAAGTAAACGTATTCCTCTTAATACAAGAGGAAAACTGTTAGAATAATCTCCAATACATTTTTGATGAATAGTCCAGTGCATTGGAAGAGGAATACTCTTTCTGTAAAAGTTTCTGCTTAGAATATGAGGTTATCGGAAATTTCACTTTACAATTAGATTATCTTTTTTTTTTGGGTATTAATCATTTATTTCTTCAAGACAAGAACGACAGGAACAATTGCAATTTTTATACTGCAATTTTTGAAACTTCAAACAGAACATTAATAGGAATAATTAATTTTACGTATACTGAGAAACATGTCGATTGAAAATGGACAAATTAGAATCAATAAAAATTCTGGTTATCTCAACTAAAATTCTAGTAGTTTCACTAAAGAATTCTAATTCGTCCATTTTCAACCATAATTCAAATTAATTCAACTAGACATTTTTCTCAGTATAGCGTTGAGATATTCCTTGAAATTATTTAAAGAGAAAGGGAGAGAGTCAAAGATATAACACGATAATATCACTATCTGTACATCTCAACGAAAGGCTCGGTCTTATCCACATTAATCTGGCATGCATCTCCTCCCAAACAGGATGATCTCGTGAAACATATCAACAACGATCATATACATGCCAACAAGAAGAGCTTTGTTTGTGGTTGGGAGGAATGCTCGAGGGATGAAAAACCCTTCAAGGCTCAGTACATGTTGGTCGTGCACATGAGAAGACATACGGGTGAAAAACCACACAAGTGTACCGTAAGTAAAGTACTTACTTGTTTCTCCCGACAGAAAATTTTTTGTATTAATCAATTATACATAAATGCGTACAAATATTTGTGAGAAGTGACTTTCAAAAATCTTATAAATCGCGCTATTCAGAGCAAGTTTTATTTGCAGCCAGCTATTAAAAATGTTTAAATAAAAATAGCAGTCGATTATAGAATTTAACATATTAATTTTAAGTATATCTATATTTTATATTAAAAACAACTTTTATAAACTTTATTTTTATTTACATATTAGTGATTAAAAAAGTCAAACTTACATAATTATTATAATTTTTCATATTGTATGGTTTAATAATGGGCAAGTTATTTTACTAGATTTATGTTTGCGTTTTTTCGGTAAGTTTAAATAAATTTGCGTATAAATTATAAATACGCGTACGCATTAAAATTATTACAATTTTTTATAAAAATAATAATCGTCATTTGAGATACATACACATATATACTTATCTATATATATTAAAGACACAATACATATATATACACAAAAGATAATAGATATATAGATAATACATAAATATTTTTTAATCAATTATATTATTCATTCTTTCGAATTTTCATGTTGTAGAATAATTTGTTATATTTGACTCTTATGTATCCTTTATTCTCTAATTTTTGTTTTATTATATTAAGAGTCCTTCGTTCTTTTAACTTTTTAATAATATATAAAAATATGCAAAAATTCAATTGGTGTACATAATTGCCGTTAGCCAAGAAAATATCAAATTTATGTACAACAAACGTGTGTTTTGTGTAGAGATAATCTTGAAAGATTTGCTACCATACTGTGGTACTTAAATATTCGACCTTTCTTGCAAAATTTTAAGTAATTAAAGTGTTTGGTATAACTTTTTACTATTTAAGTCACTATATTTTGTAAAATTTGGAGACGTAATTAAAAGAAAAGAAAAATATTTTTTACTTTCTTTTTAAATTATTCCTTGACTTTGTAAAATTTCAAAAAATATAATTAAACAAAGAATAAGATTTTTTATTTAAATTAATTATTCCATACATTTTTTACCAAACTTTAGGAAAACAAAATTAAAAGGGACGAAGAACGCTCTTTCACTCAATTTTTAAAATTTTAAAAAGAAATTAGAAATTATATTTTTAATTTTTCACCCTCTACTCAAATTAATTCTTAATATAAGTAATTATAATGTTCCGTATGTATTAAACAATATGATAATTAAAAAAGGGCATAGAACCAATATTTAAACAAACAAATTTAATTAAATTAGAATCATAAAGTTAACAAACGTTTCGACTCCGATCGGTTCATTTTCAATGTTACAAAGCTAATTCATAAATAAAAGTACAATTATACAATGTTAAATAAACGAAAAAACCATAACTATAACAATTCGTTAAATTGCCAGCAAATTCTTGTCTTTACTATATAAAAAATTATTCTTAATCTTTAATTACAGTTACAACATCTTAAATAAAAATGAGTATGATTAAACAATAACATTTCACAAAATCGCAAGAATAATCTTATCATTGAAATAAAAAGCGTAAGTTGTCCATTTGATATTTTAATCTAAGTTGCGAATGAAATCGTATCTTGTCGGTGAAATATAATTACACAATAATATGTGTTGTGTGTCAGTGAAATATAAAAAAAAAATCCAATAATGCATCAGTGAGATGTAAAAAATCACCAGAAATGTGTTATAATTTTGCGTTGTAACTACATGTTGTAACTTTAAATTATTTTGCTGATGTACGCGACACATCCTTGATCAAGTCAAATAATGTCTAATTCTTAATACTTTGCCAATTTTTGAGGAGACTTACCTTTGGGTCGAATTGCGTTCATTTACAGCAATTTCTCGTACCACTCCATTGCAATCCTGAATCGTTCGTACATTTACCGGCGCTCTCTTCAGTCATACTTGCGACTAATGCGTGTCCGTATGTAAATTCTTCCAACAGGAACAGTCATGAGCGAGATTAATTAAGAATGACCGTCGTGGCGATCGTCCGTGTGTGCATTCGTCACTCTCGACTTGTTACGCGCGACGCGTTCTCGATCGGCGTTCGAAATTCCGAGAAATGTCGACGCGTCTGTCAACAAGACACAAGCGAGATTATTCGTCTCGATTAAATCGTGGCGGTGTCGCGACGGTTTGTCTCCGACATCCCATCGCTTTTCGAACCCTTTCACGCGCTCGCCAGAGCGAAATATCCGAAATCACAAATCAGAAAATGAAAATTGCAAATGGCGTGGCGTCTTTCCGACGACTCCGAGACGACACGACGCGACGCGACGCGACGCAACGTCAGTCACGAATGCTGAGACTGTTAATTACGGCTGTCCAGCTACGCGATTCGTACAACGGGACGATTAACGTCGCCTAATGCGACGTTTTCGACATTCGTTCGTACGTGGGACTCACAATCGCGGGACGGGTAAACAAACGCGAAAACCGCGGAACGATAACACTGTCAAGAGTGTCAAGTTACGTGCGACCGGCGACGCACGGTGCGAACTGACCAGCACGGCGATGCGGCGCGTTTTCAAAATTGATCGTTGATCATTGGCCCGCGTCGCCCGCGGGGTGTCGATCGACGCGGGAAATATAATGCAATCATAAGCTGCGTTCAGCAGACTCAGCAGTTTTGCAACTGTTGTAAAATTCTTCAATATGATTGGTCTTGCCCTTAGTTCCTCATTGGATCTAAATGTATAAACTAATCATATTCAAGAATTTTACAACAGTTGCAAAACTGCTTTCTCTGCTGAACGCAGCCATGGTGAGACGTCATTAAAAAATAAACATCGTTGGTAACTATAGGCCTGTTCTTTTTGACTGAACTTTTGCATCAGTTTATCTTTCCTTCCTCTTCTTTCCTCCTGGAGGGAAAAGGAAGAAAGATGAACTGGTGCAAAAGTTCAGCCAAAAAGAACAGGCTTTATAAGAAGCCTAAAGAACAGATTCCGATCGAAATTATCTTGTTTTCTCCAGAAAACACAACAGAAATCTAAAAAATAATTGAACAATTGAATAAATAAGAGAGTTTTTAATGCAACATGCAGCATTTCTTTTTTCTTCTTTTTTAAATATTTTTCTTTTTGTTTATTTTAATGTATTTTATTATAATGTAATTTCTTTTAATTTTTAATGTAGTTTATTTTTTTTATATTTAATGTAGTTTATTTTAATGTACTGGTTGTTGAATAGCATATTCGAATTATAATTAATATATACGCTTATATTACATATAATTAATCTACACGCTTATATTACATATTATATAATTAATCTACACGCTTATATTACATATACATATTGTATTAAGGAACTAATTAAATTTTAAAATGTCCTCTTGAACACAGTTCGAGGGTTGCTTCAAAGCCTACTCGCGGTTGGAAAATCTCAAGACTCATCTCAGATCTCATACTGGCGAGAAACCATATACTTGCGAGTATCCAGGTTGCAGCAAAGCTTTCAGCAATGCCAGCGATAGAGCGAAACATCAAAACAGAACGCACTCCAGCGAGGTATTATTCTTTTTCTTATTAATTCAAAAATGAAGAAAAGAAAAATTTTTTAAAAGTTTGAAAAACAGAGTTATAAGATAGTATTAGTTTCTTGGACTAGCTATCATCTTCAAGGACTAGACATTATCTTTATTAATCTACAATAAAATGTTTCTTTTATTACTTGGAACCAGACAAGATGTTTCTTATAGATTTTTGGATGCTGAAAACGATATTGCAAGTCAAATTTCACCAACGTGTTAAGTTTTCGAAATAACTGAGGTTTAATGTGTAAAAAAAGCCATATTTTGCATTAGTTAAACCTCAATTATTTCGGACCTCTCAGATGAAATTTGGCTTCCTACATCGTTTTCAGTATCTACAAATTTAAAATAAGAAACACTTTGTCTGGTTCAAAGTAATCTTTTGCTCGTTTTTTAATTAAATTAATAAGTAAGCTAGCGTGCGCGTATTATCTTTTGCCTTTGATAAATTGAATAATACACAATGATTACTATCTGAAAATTTTATATATATTCAACTATTTCATTGGTATTTCTTGTCCAGAAACCGTACATTTGTAAAGCTCCCGGCTGTACGAAGAGGTATACCGATCCATCGTCGTTGAGGAAGCATGTCAAGACCGTTCACGGTGCCGAATTTTATGCAAATAAGAAGCATAAAGGCGGCGGTGGTGGTGATGGTGGTGGCAGCGACGAGGCTGGTGCAGGAGGTAACAGTCCCAGTAGGAGTGAGGATCTGCCTCCAAAGACACCCAGTCTCTCGAGTCCTAGCGTCAAGTCCGAAAGTGAAGCGAACAGTCCGCCAGGCATCATGCAGCAGCAGGGTAGTCCGCTGGTGGGTGGTTGTAATGACGAAGTCGCGGGAATTGGCGCTCTTACCGGCGACGGAATCGCCCTTACTGAAGAACCATGGAACGAAGAGCCCGATGATTTGGATATAGCCGATCTCCCTATAGCGCTGCGTGCCATGGTGAGTCTTTTGAAGATCAGAGGACACTTTACTCTCTTCACGAGTAATACAATTCAAAAAATTTCGTTTCTTTAGTTATTACCATGAATGAGCAAAATTTTAATTTGCCGAGGCGACAATGATCTCAAGAATCTGTCATCAACTGATATCACAAAAGAAGTTTAGAATTCTAAAATTAATTTTCAGATATAAAGAAAAAGAATTAAAATAATTTGTACTAAAAAAATTTAACAAAAAGAAAGATTTTATTTTTTAATCAAATTGTTTTTTATAGCAAATTGTTAGAAAAATTATTAATATTTTAGTTGTTATTGCTTTTATAAATTGTAAAATTTCAAATAGTACTTTTCTGATATATCTGTAAGTGTACACATAAATATGTAAATAACATCAAATATATATATATATATATATATATATATACATATAGGGGAGAGTGGTCTAAATCGTGTGTGTGTGTTTATGTATATATACGATTTATTAATTACAATTTAGAAATACATCTTTTTTGTTGCTATTTATTTTGTTTTATTTATATAAGTTTTTCTCTTTATTAATATTTGTTACGGACAACGTAGATTGCTCGTAAATAGAAGAAAATATTCGAATCTTTATTATTTTATAATAAAAAATAATAAAAAAATATTCAAACAAACATTTTGATGAAATTGGGAATTTCTCGTCATCTGACTGCGTCTTCGAAGTTATGTCATCCTTGAAATAAGTTGCTTATTTTAGCCAGTAAAGAGACTTGTCACTGCTGATACTGAATACAAAAAATAAAATTTTAAGTAAGATAAAATTTATTCAAAATTTATAAAAAAAATAAAAGCATCATAATTATATAATATGTATAGTAAAAATTCAAAACGTTCATACAAAACGACAATTTGTTTTATTTAACATTAAAACGAGTTCAGACAGTATATTTGGAGGAATAAATATTTTAGATGTTATTAATATAAATTTTGGTAAATATTGCGATTAATTAAAAATCGATTAATGCCTTTTCTCATTCAACAAAGAAAATTCTAATAAAGAGAAAATTATAATAATTTTATTTAATTAAGTTATACATATATCGTTTTAGTTTAAATATTTTAGCAAATATCTTACTTGGTTTAGTAATTAGACCTGAGAGTCCGTTACCTATAAGGTCAAAGAATTTAGTTGCTATAAAATATCCAACACAGATAATAAGTCCCAGAACCACGAACACTCCGAGAGCCGGATACAGCATCGACTTCACGTTGGCCATTGACATCTTGGTCAATATTCGATTCGACATGATGATTGAAATGATATTACTACATCCGAATAAGTCTTGTCAGAACTATAGCTTGGACTGAAGAAACTGGCCGTACAGAAGATGTATCACTAATTAAAATTATCAGAATAGTGACAACCAATAGCATGACGCGTCCTAATACTAAAAGTAGGGATTAGTTCGATTCTTCAAAAGAAGATATTATAATTCCTAGAAAAAAATAAACATATTTAAGTTTACACTGCGTGAGCGTTGAAAACAATATAGTTGTTTTTAAATTATAGTTTACTTTAATTTTTTATTAATAACACGAAAGTTAATGTTTCTCTGATAATGAAAAAGTTTTCCTTTCAGAACTCTTAAGAAAATTTCTTAATAAATAAGTTTTTATCTTCTACTGATATAAAAGTATGTTGTTTTTGTATGTTAGGAACAGCTTGCGTTTTGAAATTTACTTCGAAGAAAATTATTTATTTAAGTTAAGAAAATTATTTATTTAATTGACGGCTTCAAACAACATTTCAAGAACCGATATTAATTTTGTAATTTGCATCCAAAGAAGAATTTTGGACTACTAGTTAAATGACATTTCCACGTTACAGCACTTGGAAAAGGAATATATGATGTGATGTAGTATATGCGCGAACTATATAGTCTTCAAGTTCCAGCAATATACCCTATTTTAATTCCTAAAACTTTGTTTGTTTGATCATAAAAGAAATTCTCAACTGTTGAAATTCTATACCTATTTCAGTGACAAATAACAAAAAAATAAGATCTCTTTAAAGTTCTTTAAAGATCTTAAGACATATAAACTGTCCCTATAATATTACACAAACAACATACTTTTATATCAATAAGAGATAAAACTTTATTTATTAAGAGATTTTCTTCAAATCTTGTGTGTGTGTGTGTGTGTGTGTGCGCGCGCGCGCGCGCGTGTGTGTGTGTGTGTGTGTGGAAAGACCTTTTCACTATTAGTGAAATATTAGCTTTCGTGATATTAACAAAAAATTAAAAAATACATTACGAAACAAAGAAAAATTGATGCGAACTTTGGGAAATAATGTATTTATACATTGATTTGCGAAAAAAAACAATGATTTGCTGAAGGCAATTTTATAATTTGAAGTTATGACTTTTTCAGAAAACTTTTATTTCCAATAATTTGTAATAATAGTTTAATTGATCTGTGATTTTTATTTTCTGTGGTATTCCGTCTTCAATTTACAATTACACTAAAAATAATCCGGATGTAGTTTGTTTGGTAGTAATATTCACAAATATGAAGATACTCTCATGTGTCTTTGGAATAATCCTGGCTTTATCACTGAAGTCATCGATCAAACTTAATTAAGTTTCTGAGAAAATTAATTTTATTTATTTTATGGTTTCTTAAGTAAGAGAGCGATATAATACATATATAAATTTTACTAGCTAGAATAAGAAGCGTCCTAATACAAAGTAATTCTTTGTTTGTCTTTCTAAAGATCTACATTCCTCTTGTGATATTCTTCAACCTTAAATAACATTATTTTGATTATTCACAGGTCGGCGGTATGGAATCGCAACAACAATTGCAAGTACCGGCGCCCACGTCAAGAAATCGCCTGAAAGGAAGACTGAACGCCAAGGGTATGCCGAACATGCCGATCGTAGGCGTAGCAAACATGCGCGGGATTCGCGGAGTTGCACCTCAGGGTAATATCGGTGATCTCAATAAAAGGATCACCGATTTGAAAATGGAAGGTGGTGGTGGTGGTCAGACGCGGCAAACAAGTCTGTCTGATCTTCAATTGAGATTGCAGCCGTTCGGTGAGCCGCGAAGGGACAGTAATAGTACCGTCAGCACTTATTACGGTAGCATGAGATCGACAGATTTCAGTAGCAGAAGAAGCAGCCAAGCGAGCGTCGTTAACGCCGTCAGAATGGGCCCAGGATCAGAAAGCTTATACGATCCGATCAGTCCGGGCACGTCCAGACGAAGCAGCCAGATGAGCACAGCTTCTAGCAGAATCGATCAAAATCATTTTCAGGGACCTTACTCGACGAATAATCTCGTTGTTCAAACGCAGAACATGTCCCTTCAGGTATGCTTCGTTACGATTCTAACACAAACTCAATAAAGGATAATCTTAAACAACGCGACATTCTTTTGCAGAATATTCAAGCAATGCCAAGCGACTGGAATAATCCGAGCGGTCATTGTACTCAGCCATCGAGTGATAGACGAATGTCCGAACCTATTCGTAGTAATCCAGCCCAAAGGACTTCTCCTCCAATCCCGCCCAGGCCGAGGTCTGCACAATTGCCCGAGCTTCAGCCTGAGCTTCATCCCAATCAGGAAGTAATTTTGGACGAAGTGGGTGAAGGAGAAATGGTAGAGAACAAACTGGTTATTCCCGATGAAATGATGCAGTATTTGAATCAGGTAATTACGTTAGAGTATTTTTTTAAATTATTTAAATCCATAACATATCTCTCACGTTGATTATTTCTTTTAATCTCCGAATTAATATTATCACTACAGGTTCAAGCGGGCGGAAATCAAGTCAGCTATCGCGGCAGTCCTTTACCGATTTGCCAATCCCCGATATGTACAAATCCTCTGCATTACCAGCGACAGATGCAACCCACGTGTAATTATAATCAGTCACATCAGCAGAACTGTTATTCCTCTCAACAAGTGGTACAACAACCCTGTCCGAATTATCAGAATCCCTCTTCTGCATCTTACGGCCAATGTCCGAATTCACGTACAACTCAGCCTCCGTCGCAGTATTGCCCGCCGCCTAATTATGGGTCTCAAGTGACAGGCGGACAAGTGGCAAGCCCAGCTGCGGGTCAAGTCATGTCACCGAGTTCCCATTATACTTCGACTCATGTGAGCGATCAACCATTGACATCCCCTGCAGCTGGCGCTCTGGCACCACAACATGCGCCACAAAATCTGCCCCAGAACTCCGCTCAACTCTCCAGAAATTGTCCTCAGAGCCATGCACATGCTTACTATCCCAGTTACGGTTGCGCGAATCAAATGAACGCGAACTGCAATGGCACCGGTGGCCAAACCGGTGGTCATCATTCTAATCAGACCTGCACACAATCTAATCACGCTGCACAGATGCGGTTAACGAACAACTGTCAACAATTGTCGCCGCATTGCACTCAACAATCCGCACCCATACCCAATCCATCGAATATTGCTCATCCGAGTGCTCAGTGTAGTCAGCCGTCCGGTCAGTGTACAAGGCCTATCGTAACGTCCAACGGTCAAATACCCAACGTACACTCTGCCCCATCTCCGGTGACTAATCAGTGCAGTCCGATGTCACCTCATTGTTCTCAATTGAACCATGCGAATCAAAGCAAACCGATCAATACACTTGCGACAAATCTTCAAAGCTGTCAACAGCAAACTCAACAATCGGCCACAGCGTCCTGCTTGCAGGTCAACAATTGTATTCATCCCAGTGGGGCGCATCGTCAAGTCAACGACGGTGGCGGAGGTTCAAAGAGAACGTCACCACAACTTTGTAACACTCAACAAACTAACTGCAGAATGCAACAACAACAACAAACCTGCACGCATAATTGTCAAACCAATACGAATCCTCCGGCTCAATACAATTGCAATTGCGCATGGACTTACGGAAATCAATGTTATCACGGTCAACATGGTGGATCGTTACCGGAGATACAATGCAGAGATATTAGCCAATCGCAACAAGGCTCACCGATAAAGCCGCCTCAAGGTATGAGACAAGACTCCTACCGCAGAACATTGGAGTACGTTCAGCAATGTAGGAACTGGTCCATTAACGCTCAAACCCATGAGACCAACGTCTCCAGCTCGACGCATCCTATGTCGTTGCCACAACCTTTGCCAGCTAGTGCCAACATGGTTGTCAATGACATGACATCTTCGCTTAGTTCTTTACTAGAAGAAAACAGATATTTACAAATGATTCAATGACCCATGTCTACTAACCAGAAATATCAATTTAATTCCACTATCGATCGATAAAACAGTTGCGCTTAAACAATTTTTTACTTGATTGTTACAAATAATATAAGTTTTATGTTTAATATAAAATTTGCTGTACATAAATGAAATTAAAATATTAAACATGAAACATTTGACAAAATTTATGGTGACGTGTGTAACTTTATGTAAAAATAGTCGATTTGTAGTTTGCAGATTTTCAGATTCAATACTGACTTTTATCTGATACATATGTCTCAATTTATTGATTAAAGAATTAAAGGTTGTGAATAAAAAAAGTATAACATAATTATAACACGGTTTAAGAGAACAAATCATAAACTAACCATTTGATAAATTAAAAATTACACGTGACTGTATATAGGAGCAGTACATTCGTACTTGGTAAATTCTTTATGTTCAATCTTGACTCTTTTCTCATATACGGTTTACAAGAAAAAAATTGTTCAAAGAATTAAAAGTTTTAAATGAAGTGATTATAATCCGATTTGGAAACTAATATATACTTTCGGCAAAATTTAGTATGTTGCGCGACAAAAAATATTGACAAATTAATAATTAAATAAAGTTAATTTTAAATTTGATTGGAATTATTATTATCGCATCACTATATCTATCCTAGTAATGGGATTTAGTTAAAATATTCGTATCAACATTCACTAATTTCTCTTTTACCATTCACATTTTAGCGATGAACTATACCAGATGTAACTAAAATATATAATCCAGATAGCACAGAGAGTTTAAAAGAATTCAGCCGTACGCCATCAATTCTAAATTCGTTTTTAGATACAAAAAGAATTCTTTTTCTGAAAAGTTCTGAAAAAAAGAATTCTTTTTACATATGAAAATGAACTAAGAATTCATGACATACGATTAAATTCTTTTGAATTTTTTTATACTCTCTGTGCTGTTTGGGAACATTTAGACCGTTTTTAAATAGCAGGATTGGTTTTATAACATTACACACACACACACACGCACGCACGCACACACACACACAGAGTTAATTTTTATATGAATAAAATTTTTACAGTCGTAATATAAGACTACAAAGTGCCTTAAATAACGTGCATTTGGTGAGCACCGATGTAAATTATTATATTACAATTAAAAATATCAATTCACGACATTAAGTACCTCGAATATTCCGCTCATAGTAAGTTAGAAGTAGACAATAGATTATAAAGATAGTTCATATTTTATCAACGAATAAAAATAAAATATTTCTTTTTGATAGAAGACAAAATTAATCAATCACGCAATGTATGATTGATAAATCTTATTGTGCGGGATATTTTTGGAAAAAAAACCTGTGTACTTTAAATTATTGTAAATATATTTTTATAATATTATATACTTTTTGTACATCAATTTTATTATGCGACAAGCGTGCCAACATAGCATTAGCTTATTATAATTAAGCTCAACGAGGTATAGTGTACATCGCCGTACAGTGTGATAAAGAAGAAAGTTCATAAATAATCATTAGGTTATCAAGATTATATAAGAATAAAAGTAACAAAGATGTTAAATACAAGAAATCGGATTGATCTTAATAAAAATCTATTTGTAAGAAGCTAATAATGAAATAAAAAGTGTAGATACAATTTAAGATAAGCACTATTAAGGATGAGAATAAATATAAACATTAGGAACGTGTGCAGATGTGTTCTAAAATGTCTTTCCTAGATACTATTTTAGAAATTTCAGAAAATATTACAACACACAATTGCCTTCAACCTGTAATAATATTAAAAGTGTTTTTAAATGTCTCCAGTAAATATTAGAATATGATAATTAACGGCAACTAATAAAAGATGAACATTTTAGAACGTATTTAAAAAATCTGAAAATACATTAATATGTGCTTAGTGCTGTTTTTGTTACACAAACGAGTTTTATATGAAATTAAATCTTATTACATTGCAATTACGATGTTAATTATTTTGTGAATATTATACATATTTACTACGATAGATATCATAAGCTAATAAAACATGTATGATAGCCTATTTGAAGATATTAGAATGGAGCCTTGTAGAAGTGTCTATGCATTTGCAAAATTGTTAATTATTTCGAGAATAAATCATATTAAATCCTAAATCATGTTTTCTTAACTAAAATGTCCTTTACTCTTACAAATACAAAAAAAAAATATATTTAATATTTTATATTGATTAAAATAACTTTATCATTCCTGGATAAAACAGTGAATCACCCATTTATTAAAATTAATACAACACAAAAAATAAATATAAATAGACATTTATTAATAGCAATAAAATTATATTTTTACTTTCTAATTTATTCTTTGTCATTTAATTGAAGATTATGATCAGGGGTATATATTGAATTTTTTATTTATATGTTTATTAAGTTACGTTTTATTAACACAGTAGCAAATATCAGATTATAGTGATCTATAAATGTTTGTTTATCCCCATTTATTTCCCACCTTTTTCTATTCAACCAATAATATTAGCATAATTTGAGATAAACTTAATATTTTAATGTACTAATGAAATAATACAAAATATCTCATGAAATTGAAATACACAATTTAAAAATAATCGTTAAAATACATAAAGTATAGGCCTATTAAATAAACGATTCAACGCTAAAAGAAATTCAATATATGCTTTTTTCTCATGAAATATAAAAGGTCCTCTACATAGAAGTCATAAACGCTCGTTGAATCTTAAGTCATAGAAAACTGACCAATTCTAATCGAGGATTCTTCTTATATTTGATTGTGATTGATTGGTTTCTTACAACTTAAGACTTCACGACCATCTACGATTTCTATGTAGAGAACCCTTTATCCATGAGAAAAGTATTGAAGTAAAAGTTGCGCAAGCGCATTAACCGTTTCTTACTCATCAGTATTCATCTTCGTTCTTTCAATAAATGCAGTTGTAAGTTATTTCTTCTATTCTTTAGAACGAAAATATTTAAAGAATGCTAAATTCACTATAGACTAGACATATTTAAAGCTAGTATGTATACAAAGCCAAAGGAATTTAACGAAAGTGGTAATAAAAATTTTTATAAAGTAAATAAATGAAAAACCAAAACAAAATTCACAGATGTTAAATTATGTATATTTATAAATATATATAGGATTCATTCAGAGAGATTTATTTCATAGAGAAAAGTAATTCCACTCTATCTACGCAAGAGCGCTTTGTCAAAAATTGCGAGACACCCTGTATAACATGTAATTTGGTTTTTTAAATATTTTATTAGTTATACCTATTGAAGAAAGTTAAAAATTGAAAAATGTTTAAGCAACTATAAATGAATAAATTAGAAGAATATAAATACTGATAATTATTACCACATTTAAATGATTGATTAAATATTCCCTACATCTCCTTTTTATAAATTCTAACGTTAATTTTATAAGATAAATTAATTCAATAATTTAACTACGAAGATACAAAATACCAGTGAAACTAAAATATTTATTACTTGACACTTTTTGTAGGGTAGAAGTCGAACGGTTAAATAATCAATTCCGTGTGGAACGAAATTTAACAGATGTTTCCTTTTCATAGAATCATTCACGCGAAAAATTATAAAGTAAATGTGACACAAACATATTATTAGTTCGTCAATTTTCAGTGCTCATTCGTATGTTTCATTGCAATGTATATGTATTTGTACATTACATATGATCTGCTGGGGTATAAATGTTTTATATATATATAAAAGTATCACACATAAACATTATTATACAATAACAATGTTGTATACATTATTATACAATAACATTACTGTATAATAATTATACAATTAATGTACTTATATTTATATTTTTTTTAAATGTATAATAATTTCCTATGTTGACTATACTAATAAATTAAATAATGTTTTATAAAATATGAAATAGTATAAGTTTAAATATCAAACACAACATTATAAAATAGTAGTATTAAAATAATATTGATTTTTAAGGCACAACATTAAAAAATAAAACAAAGACTATATATATGTGTGTGGTATTAAAATAATCTAAGAATTTAAAAGGTGGGAAATGGAATATTAATTAAAAAAAGAAAGTAAACACATAAAATTAAGTCATTATACTCAATGAAATTAAGTCACTACTCAATTTATTTTATTCTGTCTTATTATGTAAATTATTAATAAATATAAAGTAATGTGTAATGCAAATATGTATACCAATTAATCTTTTCCTTACATTAAGTATTATTGTAAAATAATTTTTCTTGTTTGTCTTTCATTTATAAATTATTTATGTCAATGTTTTTTCTTTTTAAACATGAAATACATATATATCAATCGTCTTTCATTTACTTCATTCTATTATAATACAAATTATAATATATTGTTATGATCGCATTGAATACATAACAGTAAAATAAGAAAGGGATACACTTATTAACTGTAAAAAAATTATACTTGCTTTCATTTTATTGCATTAAGAAAAAAATATATTTTTAGCATTATAGTATAGCACATAAAAAATATGTTATTGTGTACCGTGGCAAAGAATTCAAAGGACGCTACAAACAATCTACCGATTTTTAAGCCAAAACTTTTACTACCTCTTTGCAGCAAAATCAGTATTAGCCTTTGTATGAGTAAAGGAATTACGTACCATTCAACTTTGTATCTAAAATTAATGACAGTATAAAAAATTTGAAGACCATAAGAACATTTACACCATAAGCTTTTTCATCACGTATACACATATTTGCATTTACTATAGTAAAATACTTCAAAATTTAATTACTAAAATTTTCCATTTTCGTATTAGTAATTTAGGGGCCAATTTTGTAACCTTTCACGACCGTAATTGTAGTCTTACAGTCGTTAAGAATTACAGAATAGGCTTCTAAATTTTTTTTATAATATATAACTACAATATAAAACAATTATATTACTTACGCAGTGACAAATATATAATTATTATAATCTAGAATTTGCTGTCCAACCAAATTGGATGTAAACATGTATACCAAACAACAAGATGTAATTACGAACCATGGTAAAAGTTCTTCAGTATTATATTCGAGTAATACAATCTGAAAGATCTAGTAAACGAATGTATTATTGGCTGCGTTCAAAAAAAACTAATCAATTAGCGCTTAGTGATTCTTTAATATGATTGGTTCTTGCTTTTAGTTCTTCACTGGATCTAAATGTAAAAACCAATTATATTGAAGAATTACTAAATGTTAACTGATAAGTTTGTCTGCTGAACGCAGCTATTCACATCAAATTGAGAGAACATAGTATAAATGTAATTTATTAATTTGGGATAGTTTTTAGCACAACATTTATCTACTATAAATTTATGTATTAAGCTATATACATTTTTATAAAAAGAAAATTATAATTAAAATTACAAATTTTAATTGCTATACATATATGTATATATATATGTATGAAATATCTCTTATTACTATCATTTATATTATATTTTAAATAAATATTACAAAAATTTATAAATTAATTTGAAAATACCAAAAACTTAATGTTATATTAGCAAAAATCAGAAACTATGTGTGAAGTGAATTTCTGCTATTAAAATTAATAGTTATATCTTATTTTTCATATGATCAATTTTTATTTTATATTTAAAGCTGGTATTCTAATAATTTAAAAATTATGATACGGATTTAAAAATAAAAAAATTTTCTCAATATATATATGTTGATAAAATAATATCTTAAAATCCAAATTTAAATAATCTTTCCATAAATTGTTAATCCTTAAAATTTTAATTTAATCTCTATCAATATTGTTTGTTAGAAAAAGACATTAAGATTATTAATCTAAAGCAACATAACGAAATAATATGCAAACCATCAACATGGATGGTAAAAGACGAGACGCACTCGAAACTAACTGTTGCACTTTATTAATACTAATAAAATCATGATCTGTTTAGCTAATTAAAGTACAAACTCATAATTCATATATTTGTGGCTTATTTCTATATCAAATCGGCTAAAAACCAATTCTATGAATCCGAGAATAAAATTCTTAAGGTGTTCTTTTGCAAATTGCGTAATTAAAATAATAGTGACTGTATTGATAATATTATGTTATTTTAAATGTTCATAGTTTCATACATTAGTTTTCTTTACAAAATAGGATATTTCTTTACTTATAAAAAAGGAATGTTGATATTATTGCCTCCTATGTCAGTTTTGGAGCCCATTTTGTCAGACGCTCATTTTTGCATAACTTGCGAAAAACTTAATTATTACAAAATTGCAAACAGTATTATAAAAATTGTTTATACTATCTGATAGAAAATAATTTTTACTTTGTATTTATGTTTTTGAAGTTGTATTTTTACCCTTTGTTTAAGAAATATTGTCTAAAAACAAAGTTGTATGTCGGTATCGGTGACCTTCCCCTACCTACAGCTCGATTGCTAACATGCACTTTTGCGCACAAAAAAAATTTTAGAAACAGAGTTACTTTTGCCTTTATGTATTATTGCCTACAGCTCGATTGCCTACATGTATTATTGCCTACAGCTCGATTGCCTACATACATTAATTATTGCTTACAGCTCACAACCTTCCACGCGAAATGAGGACTAACTCACACCAACAAATGGTTTGTTTAGGTTTAGTTTTTTTTGAAAAAATATTCCAAGCGGACATTATCTACGCTGACACCCCACTGTTCACATGACAGATTTCCTAAAAATATAAATTATTTTCTACTTAACTTTAATTTTATATTTGTTCACAAAAGTGCATGTAGGTAGTCGAGCTGTAGGCAATAACACATGCAGGCAATCAATTTTTAAGCAAATGAGATGTAGGCAAAAGATGCTGTAGGCAATCAATTTGTAGACAAAAGGTGCCCTCTCGGCACTTAAAATACAACTCATACCATGTACTCTTTTGTTACTTATTGTTAATCGTATATTCACGCAACACGGACACATTGATGAATTGTTTGATTATTATATATGTTTATCATATTACCTAGCAATTTTGAACATTCCGCAGGCATGTTGAAGACATGCAATGAGCAATGTCCCTATCCCGAGTATTACTATGCTCGCTATAGTAAAAGTTGCATTTACATGGAAAAACAATAAATACAAATATCTTTATTCTTAGATGAAATATTCGGTGGAAATCTATAGGTGATGTGATCGAGATACGTTTGTGTATAATACAATAACAATAAACTCCAACCATACAGAGGTGCCCATAAATACAGATAAGCTACAAATAAACATAACTACTCAATGTTATGAAGTCTAAAATACAATATATATTTTTTAATACTCTTTAAAATTTATATTATTGTATATATTATTTTAAAATATTTTATATGTGAATTTTTTTCCAATTATATCAATATATGATGAGCTTTAAAACTACTTTTATTTAAAACATTTTTCTCAAATCAAATACAAAAAAGTTTTTGAAGGTGGTGATTTAAAATGGAACATTCTATATATTTATTTTATTTCTTTTATTAAAATATGAAAAATATATTCTAAAATATACTTGATACTATAATTTCATATTTCAAAGCAATATTATCATTGCAATTTAAATCTTGTTTCTTAAAACTAAAACATTTTACTTAGGACAATGTACAGTTAAAATATTTTAATTATGCATTATTTTGGAGTGCATTTTTTTTCTTTGGTACATTTATATTCAAATGTGTATTTGATTCATTATATAACAAAAAATTCATATTTTTTAGTTGTAAGAATTTAAATAAAAATTTTATTAAATAATTTCCAAATATAAAAAGAAATAAAAACATGAAATATATATGAATTTAAATTTGTAAAGATTATTTTAAATATATTACAGTGCAACGAATAACCAGCGTATTGGCTGTATGCTCCTTTTTTAAACTGCTGTTTATAAGTATTAAGCCATTATTTACCTCTACGTTGTTATTTACCTCTATGTAATAAAAAATGTCTTAACTTGTAAACACAATCGTATACCGTTTTGCATTATTTCCATATTTTTCTACGATAGCAATTTTGTTACTGTCTCTTAGATCGTTATAAACATGCTGAATTTGTTCCATTAAATTTTTTATCTATCAATTTTACCAATCAATAAGTTTTTGTACTATATATCTTATTATTAGTAAAATTTAAAAAAATTGATAAATAATATTACATATATATCTATTTGATAAGATATTTATTTTAACAAATATAGTTGACAACTTGCCGTTTCATTATTAATGTAAAAGGAATTATACTTTATGACACAGCAGACTAAAGGAAGTGCGGTAGAAAGAACTTTGATAATGACTTCTGTAGAACATGACGTCAAAATTGTTGTAAGCTAAAAATAATAATCCTTTAAAAATAAATAAAAAAACGATATTTACATTTTAATCTATATTAACATAATTATAATCCATTTTTATCACTTTATACAACAATTTTTATCAAGTCGTATAATTGGGTTTCGCGGGTTAATTTTTATTCAAATCCAATATTAAAGTGCTAACGTTTCGTAAATATTGCAATTTATTTCAGGGCAAGGTGTAGCCTGATAATGTATCAAGTTGATATCAATGAAGTAAACTACATAGTTAACGAAAAACTGGTATTCTAATAATGGATTTGGACAAGATAACCCGCGAAACGCATCACTTCTGTATGGAAAATTCCCGTGAAAGCCTCATAAATATTAAGTCGTATAATTATAATTTTCAAAAGTTCATATTAATGTAATTATGTAACTATATGGAATAGAAATCGACATATAATAACATTTTATTACTCGCACGTATAACTATATGTATACGCGTATATGTACTTGCACAGACTTTTTTTATATACGTATAAAGAATAAGATCTTACTAACATTTGCGCTAATTTTTTATATTTAATGATTTATTTGACATATTTCAAGTCAATTCATATTTTCAAACAAATATGAATTCCTAAATTAATCAACAAATTTGCAATTATAAATCAATTCTAGATCTAAGATAATAATAGAATTAAAACCTTTATACCTGAAATATAATGCAAGTTATAAACATGATACATATACATATTACTTGCAATCCAACAAATTTTGATTTTTCATAAGGCCACAAACCAACTATCAACAAAAGAGTTCGATTAAGACTAAAATATCTGTCCACAACGCTGATCATGTCTCAGCTAACTCAAAAATGCTTTTAACGGAATTGAAGCGAATGAAGTTACGCTCATCTCCACCATTCAGTTGATTGATTAAATGTCTTTAACATCTTTTCTTCTAATTCAAGAAATGTTCTACAATTTAAGACAATTTCAGTAATTCAACCAATTTTGTTAAATTGTTGAAATTTACATAAATTTTGGAAAATTTGTTGAACTTCCAATGAAAGAAGTATCGTGAAATGTGCAATAAAAGGCTGATGTAATATTAAAACCCTCGCAATTTAATACTGCTTCCTTAAAATATGTCGCGTTCAAGCGATCGATACAACTACAAAGAAATTCAACACATGTTCTTTTCTCGTAGAATAACATCCATAAGAAAAACTATGGCTGTCAAACTAGCGTAAGCGCTGTAGCTACTTTTTCAGCGATGCGTATTCTCGTGTTTCATTTTAAAATACACTCTTGTAAGTTACACTTGAATTTTCGGGGTCATTACAATTAATTTTAATATACAGTATATTAATTATAAAATTATTAGTCCATATTTTTAAATTTCGCTTTTAACAATAAATCCGCGTATATAGTTTACGTTACTTATTTCTATCGTATAATTTACGTTATAAATATAGTGTAGAATTTCATAAATAAATTCGCGTATTTATTAAGAAGTGCGAAGTGTGTATACAGACTATTTTATGGACATAATTTATATTCTTTTGTTCTTTTTTTGCATCTACTTCAGTCTCTGTGAAAAAGAAGATATCTTCAAATATGAGAATATATTAAATTGTAAGTAAAGGATGAAGAGTCTTTCCAAAATGGACGCAATAGAATTGTACT